TTACTGAAGTTACAGATAAGTTGCTGAAGTCAGGACCATCACTTAGGACATCAGTAAATTCTGGAAGCCCTTTAGCAGGCCCAGCCCCTGTTTTTCTAGGTACAACTACATTGATCCTCTCATCAGTCTTTTGAGGTTTTTTTCTCGGTGTACGATGAGCCAAGGGATCAGTATCAAAATGGCAGCGGAAGCGGCCTTCTCTAAAATCCTGCACAAGTGCTTCAATTTTCATATCATCTTCGTACATGATCTGAGACCAGGTTTTTCCTACAAAGGAAGGAGGCACATGAGGCAGAGCTGGAAGAACTGGTTCTTCATTTTGAATTGAAAGATCATTTTCTGCTTCTGCTATTTGCTGCACTGAAACCTTTTTAAAAATGGAGCTGAGTTGGGTGCCATAGTTTTCATCTTGTAGATTTATTTTAACTTCTTTGAGAAGTTCTAGATTTTTAGCAGCTAACTTGGACAGGTTTGCTTGTGAATCAATAGCTGCATCACAATCAAAACTCATATCTGAACCATGCAGACTACTGTGATCCAAAAGTGACAGAATATTTACACAGGAATTTGTATCTTCTTCTCTGCAAGGCAACTCTTTGGGAGGAGATTCATAACAGTATTTCAAAATGACCTGTTCAATTATTTCATTTATAGAACTTTCAGCACTTCTGCACAACTGTTCTTTTTGTCTTGGTAATTGGGGAGCTGCTTGAAAATTCAGGGAATTGCTGGTGCCCACAGGTTTTCTAGAATTCCTGAGACAAAGGTTAATCTGAGTTTCATCCTGAGATTCTAAGTCATCTTGTTTTAAAAAGAGTTGACCTGAGATTAAAGAGTTGCCTGTATTATAGACAGGACTCTTGTGAAAATGTGAAACAGTTTTTGACAGGACTGGCTGTAAAGCAAGATTTTTGTTTGAATTCAAAAATCCATCTTGGTTGCATATATCTTGCATAGCCTGTTCACATATGCCATCTGCTTTTACTGGATAGCTAATATTTTTTGCATGTCTATGAGGTGGGGATGGTACCTGGCTAACAGGTAATGGATGGGGTAAAACATCCCTAGCTGTAAATGAGACGTTCTGATTACTATTTTTGGTCAAAAGGTTTGTTGGACCAAGATTATTTATATTACTGGAAATACACAGATTTCGTTGTGAAGCTCCTAGTTTGGGTTGTTGTCCCCTTCCCAGAGTCTGGATAGGAAGCAGTTCTACAGAAGTCTTCTTCCGCTTTTCATGGTTCTGGGAAATAAGGCAGCCTGATTCAGCAGTGAATCCACTGCCACTGTTTGGATTTTCCACCCTGGTCATCTGTCTCTCCTTCTCTTTGACTTCCATTGAAACAGCAGCCCCATCTTTTGCAAGAAGCTGGGAGTTGAATGGCATGTCATCATAAGTTGGTCTAGGGAAAAAATACACATCAATATTATAAATCATTGAACATTAAAGCAGAATGTGCAACTAAGGGATGAAAAGCCAGGAGATTTAATAAAACTGTTATGGTCCTATTACAGTAGTATGACTAGCAATATAGCTGCAAACCAAACTAGCTTATAAAGCACTCATGAACTTACAAGTTTGAGCTCTGGATTTCATGGATTCATATGTTGTTTAAATCCCACTGCTATATAATGATGAGGCATGAAAGGGAACTTTCAACATTCTGCATCATTGGGCAGATGGCACCATGATCTCCATAATCATTTTTTGTGTCAAATTTTTCAGTCACAATAATTAATATGTTCTGAGATACAAGAATCATGGTTCATGTCTGGGTTCACAAAAGACACCAAACCATAAACTAAACCAGATTAGTTGAAATGGCATAACACAGAAATCTACAAATTAATGAATGATATTTTCAAGCCATAGTTTGAAAAGCTAGCCTTGGCTATGTTAATTGCAGGAAACTTTAATGTAATCATGTATATTTTTTTAAAATAAAGTTTTATTGAGTTTTAACAAAACAAATAAAACATCTTATTTGAGTACAGCATGGTTCTGGGTTATCACATTTCCATACAGACACAATTTCATATGCATATTCATCTTATGTATTCAACTTCATATCTTATTACTCTTTTTCCAACTTCTCATTATTTCTCCCTTTACTTCTCTTAATTTTTTTATGGTTATCTTATTTTCTTCTTATTCAATTATATTTTTTTAACCTAAATTTCTATATCTTTTTATTCATTGTACTTATACTTTTGTCTGTCTTGTTTACAATTTCATATGTTCTCTTCCAACGTTCTTAAGAAGCAAAATTCCCCCTATGATTGCCAATTGAAGTGCAACACCTTTAAATTCTTATTGTTATTATCATATGAAATCTCATTAAACATTGAATTTGTGCATTCTAAAATTATAACATTCAAATTTCTAATATCTATTTTATATCATGTAAATCTCATCATTCAGACTCTGCTTGGTACTTCCCCTTGAAAATGTAAAAAGAAAAATTCTAAAAACAGCAAAAACAATATATATATATATATATATATATATATATATATATGTAT